ACAGTGCCAACCGGGATGCCGGAGCCAGAGCTGAGCCCCACCACACTGGGGCTGGTTCCTTGCTTTTCCTGAGCCCAGCATTCAGCATGAGAAGCGGCAGCGTCTTCTTGCAGCCAGGGCACTGTGCTCCTGTGAATCCTGTCCTCACCCCAGGGAGGAGCAGGCAGTGACAGTGAGCACCAGGGTGATTGTGTCCTATACCTGCCCAACATGGGATGCCTCAGTCTTTCCCAGGTACCCACCTCCTGGAGCTGGTGGTGCCAGTGATCATAGAACCCCAGACTGGTTCAGGTTGGAGGGGACCTCAAAGCTCATCCAGTTCCAACCCCTGCCACAGGCAGGGACCCCTTCCACTGGAGCAGCTTGCTCCAAGCCCCTGTGTCCAGCCTGGCCTTGAACACTGCCAGGGATGGGGCAGCCACAGCTTCTCTGGGCACCCTGTGTCAGCACCTCAGCACCCTCTAGTCAGGCAGCAGAGCTCTGCTGCTTCCTGCAATTTGTCTCCTTTGTGGGTTTTTTTAATCACTGCTTTATTAAAGGAGCAGGGTCAGTGCTATCAGATCACTTTGTGAGGATGCTCTGTCAGTCTTGTGCAGCCTTATTGTTTTTAATATTGCTTTGCTGGCAACATTCGTGGATTGATTTGCAGATTCTTCTGTTGCTTGTATCAGAATGTCCCTTTCCCCTCACTTCCCTGTGCTGAGAGAAACTGAGTAAAGAAAGGTAGATGTTATCTGATGCTTCTCAGATACCAAAGTGATTTCTGAGAGCTGCAGAGCCAGTTACTGACTCATAACTGTGGCTTGTTTTCGCACCATGGGTAGATTTATGTGGTTGGGGTATTTTGCAATGGTAAACAAAGGTGCTCACTCGGGATCTGCCTTGGTGAGCAGAATTGGCCTTTTTCTGCTTGCAGAAGCCTTCCCTGTGGACCTTTCTCTGCTGCAGAGTGGTGCAGGGAGGTGTTTCAGGAGCGGGAGAGTCTTGCACCCCTCATGGGCTTTCTCTGGCTGGGCAGGTCGATGGGTCCCAGCTCAGGGTCCATGGGGTGGGTAGCGGATGGGGCAGCTGCTCCAGGAGGGCAGGAATAGCTGTGTATGATGTGAAACCTAACTGGTTGTTTTTAATGCCTGCCTGTTGCTGTGTCATGGGTTGAGGCTCAGTCTTCCCTGCATGCAGAACTGTAAAACCCCTTGTGGCCAGCACTAAATGGGATAATGTACTGGAAAAGATCCAGGCAGGATGAGACTGTTCTCATCTGGGGAGGAAACACAGTTGGTCACTTGGCTGGTTTTGAAAGAGAGAAACAGGGTGACTTGGGTATTATTACGTGTTGCATATTCAGCACAGCAGCTTTCAGTTACCCTGCATATAACATGCCTGATTCTTGCCTTAGCTGGGAGCATGATGGAAGCATGTTCTGTTTTCCATTTGTTTATTTATTTATCACCTTGCGTTCACTCTCTCTGAGGCTTGATATAGGTATAGGGCTTCAGCAGTGTACACACAGCAGAATAACAGATAACTGTGATTTGGTTACGAGGCAATAATTTAAGTCGACAGGTTTAGCTGATAACATAAAACACAAGAGGGGAATAGCATTGGTTTATAAATGTCAGCAGAGCCCCTGTGAGTGAGTTGCTGCCTTGAAGCTGGCTCTGGAGCTGTTACTCCATCTAATGTATTATAAGAAGAAATAAACAGATGTCTGAAAAAGTCTGGCTGACCAAGATTAAAGGAGCAGGGCTATAAATTACATTCTTCCTCAGTGTCATGTTAAGGAACTCTCAGGACAGACAGAGCACGTCCAAGGAAGATGAAGGCAGGACCTCCGGTTGATGAGGTTTAGGCTGCAGATGCCTGGACACGTGGGCAGCAGCCAGGTGTGGGGCTGGCTTCTCCAGAGAGCAGGGAAAGTCAGAGTGGTTGTGTGGGAGAGCAAAACCTGCCCTGGTGCTTCCACAGCTGATAAAAGGATTAAATTGAGAATGGGAATAACACCCTCCTAGCAGTGTGTTGCTACAGGATCAGCATCTCTCGTGTGTGAAATAAAAGCTGTCACTTTGACATTTATTCCCAATAACTCCCATGTCATTTGTGCAGTGACAAGGGTTTTCTTACCCTCTGGAAGTACTTTACTTTTTGGCTGCAAGGTGAAAAGCTGAGTGAAGTGATTCAGGGGCAGGCGGGTGGCACGTCCCCACTGGGGACACTGGATGGTCTGCTTAAACTCCCTGGCTTTCTCTCAGATCCATGAAGTCAAACTGATGTGGTAACACATCTTCAAATCGGTTCAGTTGTGGTTTAAAGAATTCCCAAGTATGGGAAAAGGGTACCACTGGTTGTGGAGGAAGGAGTTCGCTGGCTTCCTCCTCTGCCAGTGATAGCCTGTTCTGCAGGGGGGTGCAGCTATTTCTACTCAGTGGGTAGTTAATGTGGAGGTGGGAAATTAATTAGAATGGAAACTCTTCTTTCCCTTTATAAGGAGCAAGGGAGCAGGCCAGGATCAGATCTGGGGTGTGGAGATCTCTGGGAGGTGAAGGCTGTTCAGCAACACGCACATGCAATGCTTTCTGTTTGGATAGACATCTTTTGTTTTTCTAAGGTGTCAAGGAGAAAAAAGGTCACAAAATTGCTTAAATATAAACTTGTTTTGATAGGTTTTTAATTAGTTTCATTTCCCAAATGCAACTTCATATGAACAATAAGTAAAACATTAATTTCTCTAGGAAAAAAGCTATTAAGCGTTCGAGTCTGTATTAACAGCACATGAAGCTGTGTAATTGCTTACATGCGTATCGCTCCGGTGCGTGCTCCCAGTTGTTGAGTAGTATCAAGTTAAAGGTATCAAAGAGAATCAGCTATTTTTAAGGGAAGTATCTGGAAGCTACATAGTGAAACATGATTAAAATTCAGGTTTTCCAGGTTGCTCATTTAAATCAGCATTTTTAATCACATTATTCAAGCCAACCCACCCTCAAACACACTGAATAAAGCTCTAAATACCCCAGACTAAATGAGACTGAAGACCTCATCCTGTCTCAAACATCTGGAATGTTTTGTAGTGACTACACTGATCTTTTTGCTGGAAACAGAGCTGTCTCTCTTGGTTTATTTAACAAAGCAGTGTGTTTGTCCTACTGTGGCGTGAACCTGTAGTGCTGTGCACAGGGGCAAGAAGAAGTCCCTGCAGCAACCAAAGCCGCTTAAATACATCAAGGCTGGGATTTCTGCTCTGGGGGTTGGATGGTCTTGGTCGAATCTCATTTAGGGAAGTGTAAAGAAGCAAAGTTTGTGTCTTCTCTGATGGCAGCCTCCTTAATTCGGTTGTGCTGGGTTTGTGTGCACTGGGGTTTGTGTTTTATTTACTGCTGGCTGAAAATAGAAGCTGTGATGTTGGTGAGTGGAGGGGTCCTTCGGGCCTTCTGGGGACTGCTCCCTTGCTTCCCCTTTGGTGTTTCTTTAAAGCAAAACCCATCAGCCCCCTTCCTCTCCCCTGGCAACCGAGTGCACTAATGTGGCCAGATGCACCCGGAGCACGACAGCCAGGATATACTGTACTGTGCTAATGGGGACAGTCATGTCTCTCTTGTCTGACAATTTAGGAGTTGCTTCAGTGAGTGCTGTGTGTGTAGCCTGGGCTGTCCCAGAGGTGTGACCTGGCAAGGAAAAGCACTGGCTGTGAGAGAGAAAGATCCAGCTCAGCCCTCACTTTCTCCCCTGAATGGTGTTTGTGCCTATGAATCCCACAGTCTCAGCCTGGTTTGTGTTGGAAGGGACCTTAAAGCTCATCCAGTCCCAACCCCTGCCACGGGCAGGGACCCCTTCCACTGGAGCAGCTTGCTCCAAGCCCCTGTGTCCAACCTGGCCTTGAACACTGCCAGGGATGGGGCAGCCACAGCTTCTCTGGGCACCCTGTGCCAGCGCCTCAGCACCCTCACAGGGAAGAGCTTCTGCCTAAGAGCTCAGCTCAGTCTCCCCTCTGGCAGGTTCAAGCCATTCCCCTTGGCCTGTCCCTGCAGGCCCTTGTCCCAAGCCCCTCTCCAGGTTTCCTGCAGCCCCTTTAGGCACTGGAGCTGCTCTAAGGTCTCCCCTTCAGGAGCCTTCTCTTCTCCAGGCTGCCCCAGCCCAGCTCTCTCAGCCTGGCTCCAGAGCAGAGCTGCTCCAGCCCTCACATCATCTCCGTGGCCTCCTCTGGACTCTCTCCAACAGCTCCAGGTCCCTCTTGTGCTGCTACCCCAGAGCTGGATCAGGACTGCAGGGGGGGTCTGCCCAGAGCGCAGCAGAAGGGGAGACTCAAGCAGCAGCATCAATTAGCAACAACCAATTATGGCCTCCTCTGTGTCCCAGCACAACTGCTGGCTATCAATATATGTTTGTCATGAATTGTGACCAGGGAAAACCATTGAATTTCCCACCTTTTCTACATGTAAACCCAAAGCTTAATGTATTCTGTGTTTTTCTGTTGGCAGATATTAGTGATCATGTATTCCTTTTAATGCAGTATTTCCAAACCAGCACAGCCTCGCCTCCGTATGCTTGGTATTCCACATACCTGGCTGTACTCTGCGGTGTGCTTTGATTTCCCTTTGGCAGCTGTACTTTATGCTGTCTACCCTAATCAGCAACTAATTCCCCCTTCTCTAGATTCCAGATCCGCTCCTGATGTGGAGCTTTAGTGCTTTATCAGGAATTGGCCTGGGAAGAAGGAGGGAGCTCATGCTCTGCTGGGCTTTGTCCTGTAGCACAAGCTGGCCCGGTTGCACAGGGCAGTGTTTGGAGGCTGGAGGTGGCATTTCTGTGAGGTTAAAGCAACATTTGTGTCTAAGGGGTGTTGATGGAGGGGAGAGTAATCAGTTGAGAATCTCCTCCTTCTGTTCACCATGTGGGACGAGGCTTTTATCTCTCCCTTGGGTAGGTGCGTGCGCCTTCACCGCATGTTACCTGAACAAAGCTGGAATAGCTCACATGCTCTAAAATAACCCTGCCTTTTCTTATAGGTCAAGCTGTTCCTGCAGGGTCACACGTACGACTGAACCTGCAGACAGGAGACAGAGAAGTCAAACTCCCAGACAGTGAAAATGGGAAAAGTGATACAAGAAAAGAGAGAAGAAAAAGGTACAGCAATGCAAAGCATTGGGGTGGCTAGGCTGTGGGATTCGTGTCTTTCATTGGAGGCCAGGTTCCCCAATGCACTCAGTTGCTGTCTCTTCCCAAGACTTAATAGCTGCTTTAGGAGTTCATCAGTGCTGAAAACACAGCCCTGTCCTTTGTGATACCTTCGGGGTGGCGGTAGAAGTGCCCTGAGTGCATGTTCAGAGTCACCTTCATGGTTTCTGATGCCACGACACCAAAAGTAAATCTGCAACGTGGCTTCTTTGTATGACTTTCAGTCCTTTGAAATACTTGAGCTTAAACTTTCTGAGCCTGAACTGTCAGAGCACTTGTGAGGGGCTTTGTTTGCTTTGACCTGAGCCAGTACCATGGTGTTAGCTCGGTGCAGTCAGTGGGCTCCAGTGATCATTTACACATCAGTGCCTGCTGGTGCTCTCCTTGGATCTCACATAACCTTCCTGTACCTACATCTTTAGATTTGTTGTCAAAGTCTCACTGGTGCTGACATTCCTTTTGGCACCCTCCTACCAAAGACAGGTTTATGGGGGGAACACTGTTTCCTCAAGTGTGGGGGATTTACCTCTGCTTCCCTTGCTCCCCCAGTTCCTCCTTTTCACAGCATGGAGAAGCTCTTCAGCTTCATGATGCTTCAACAGTCGGCTTTCCTTTTCTCTGTCTAGGAGTGTTTGTGGCTCAGATAAACACTCTCTGAACCAATGAGAGAAGCATAAAGAGCAATGCAACATGAGTCTTAGCACTTCTGTGTGATTTCTGCTCGGATTTACGCTTGCCTTAACTTTGTATATGGTGATCATTAGAAATTCTACTGTAAATCTCTTTGTTAAAACTTAAAAGTCCTTAGTAGTGATTTAGTGGCAGTGGTGGTTCTTTGTTTTTCCTGTGAAACATTTCCTGCTCTTCTGTATTGCAACATTAAATTCAGAGCCACAAATTAATATGAGAATCCCAGCCTGGTTTGGGTTGAAGGGACCTTAGAGCTCAACAAGCTCCACTCCCCTGCCATGGGCAGGGACCCCTTCCACTGGAGCAGCTTGCTCCAAGCCCCTGTGTCCAACCTGACCTTGAACACTGCCAGGGATGGGGCAGCCACAGCTTCTCTGGGCACCCTGTGCCAGCGCCTCAGCACCCTCACAGGGAAGAGCTTCTGCCTAAGAGCTCAGCTCAGTTTCCGCTCTGGCAGGTTCAAGCCATTCCCCTTGGCCTGTCCCTACAGGCCCTTGTCCCAAGCCCCTCTCCAGGTTCCTGTAGCCCCTTTAGGCACTGGAGCTGCTCTAAGGTCTCCCCTTCAGGAGCCTTCTCTTCTCCAGGCTGAACCAGCCCAGCTCTCTCAACCTGTCTTCACAGGAGGCTGTCTTCATAATCACCTATTTTTATTGTGTTAGGTCCTGAGATTTTGGGTCAGTGTGCAGATTATGGAGACTTTTTTGACTGTCGGGGTGAGGTGTCTGCAAATCACACACAAAATATAGCACTGAGACTCATCTCTTCTTGAGTGTGGAGGGGTTTTTTTTGTGTTTTAAGCGAGATGCTTGGAAATTCATCACTCTTAGTTCCTTTTCTCCTGACACTTTCCATTGCCAGTACATCACAATGAAAACATTACACATGCAAGTGTTCACTCATAACATGTTCTGTTTTTGTTTCCTCTGCAAGGCTGGGCAAGGTGGATATTGACTCAACTTCATTCACATCTCAGGAGCTCAAAAAGGCACTGGCTAAAATGAAGGAAAGTGAGAAGGCAGAACGAAAGGTAAGGAGAGATCACACAAGGATGTGAACACCTTGTATTACATGTCTCTAGAAATAGGACGACTAAAGTAACTGCTTGGGAAAGTACTGTGCAGACACATCTTTCTGTGGTTATGGACCCAAAATGCCTTTGCTAGCCTGCTGGTGATATATTTGCCTGGGAAACTCACCCCTTTTTGTCCTAATCCTGGATTTTGTGAGAATGGAAAATTTGTGTCCAGTTGCATTTTATTAACTATGAACTTCAAGGCCTTGTGCTGCAAGCTGCTACCAAGTACTTCAGTGTACTCTTACAGTTGAGGGTGATTCTCAGTAATAATCATCCCATGGGCTGCTGGGGGGGAGAGGGGCTGCAGTGGTGGAATGGGCTGGGATCAGCAGTTTACTGACAGGAGGGATGTGGAGCTGTTGGAGGGAGTCCAGAAACAGGCTGAGAGCTGAGCTCTAGGATTCTTGCTGTACCAATGCTCAATTGAAGCTATGGGGTCTTTCCTGTGAACCAAAGCTGGTATGGTCAAGAAGCTCTCCAGTGTGATGCTGCTTCCCACAGTTTCCTGATACCAATGTGATTAGACTTGAATGAATAATGAAAAACCAAGTCCCTTGCATGCACTTGTGTGAAGCCAGGGGCTGATTTCCTTTGTATTGTTCGGATATATGTTTGTCCTTTGATTTGATTTATTTATTCAACTGCCACTTGGTTCACAGGAACATCTGCAGACCCCCAGTGTGGACTGGACTGCAGCATGGAAGTGTTTGTGAAGGAAGTTACTTTGCTGCTCACTGATATCCTTGGTTTAGGTCTCAGTTGCATACCCTGGTAGTAAAACCCAAATGACCATGGTGAAGCATAGGCTGACATTACCTTGTATAAGCTCCGAGTTTCCTATTTAGTTACAAATAGTCCACAACCCAACGTAAAATAGAATAAAAGCACTGCTTCCAGCCCTCACCAGGCTTGGAGCTGGTCCCTAGCCACTGGCATGATACCTGGGGGATGAGACTCATCAGGATGACAGCCTTTCTCCCCTCTTCCCTCAGCAGTATTTCCTTAGGCCCTGGGTCCTCCTCCTGCTGCCTTGCTGCTGGCTCAGTCGAAGGAGAACTGCATATGAGTCAAGGCTTGGAGTTACAAGAAGTCTTTTTCCCCCATCTGGCACCAGGGCATTATTTCATTTTCTGCAAGTTTACTTATGCAGCAGCCAGCATCAGTAATGGCAGGCCTTGAAATGAGTGTCATTTAAATGCAAAAATTAGTGATCCTCTTTTATGTGAAAATAAGCCACTTTTTAACAAGCCCTGTTAGAGGACAGCTATTGTCCCAGCAACGGGGCTCAAACCAGCTACCCCTAATGCACCTAAAGTACTCCATATAAAATCACTCCTGCAGGGAGCAAGTTCATCCTCAAAGTAACTGTGTCAGAGTAAACTGAGTTACCCCAAGCGTGCTCCCATCACCACTCTTGCAAAAGCAGGTCTGTGGGGCTGCGGTGGGGATGGTGGTCTATGCAGCTCCATGGTACCTACAATAATGAGGCCAGCAGTCATTAGTGCTGATTATAGGGCTGCAGTTAGGCTGACCATGCTGTCACTTCCATCACGCAGGGATTTTTTCTGCAGTGGCTCCACCTTTGGCTGCTGTTCACACCCAGGGCAGTGCTTGCAGGGGGAGCACCGCATGTGCAAACCCTTGAGTTGGGGTCACTCCTATGTGAAAACATATTCTAATGCTTGTGACACAATCCCTTTCAAAAGCGGCTTTCTTACTTTCTCCTGCTCTTGGGGAGCCCATCTTGTGTGAACTCAGTGCTTTCTCTGTCCCCTGCAGCAGCAGGCACTGGCCCCGCCTGTCCCAGTGCCACCAGTGCTGGTGCTGGAGAATCAGAATCATAGAATCATTTAGGTTGGAACAGACCTTTAAGATCGAGTCCAGCTGTTCATCTACACAGTTTGTGAGCACTTGCAGGGACGGTGCCTGCAGCCCTGCCCTGGGCAGCCTGTTCCAATGCCTGAGCACCCTCTGGGGCAGGAATTGTTCCTCAGCTCCATCTAAACCTGCCCTGGTGCAGCTTGAGGCTGTTTTCTCTTGTCCCATCCCTTGTTCCTTGGGAGCAGAGCCCAGCCCCTCCTTGCTCCATCCTCCTGTCAGGCAGTTGTAGGGAGCGATCAAGTCCCCCCTGAGCCTTCTCCAGGCTAACCCCCCCCCAGGTCCCTCAGCTGTCCATCTTCTCAGTTCCTGCCAGCTCTGGGGCTCTCTTAGATCTCTGACAGCCTTTTCCTTCTCACCATGTGCCTTTCCACAGTTCTCTGTTCATTGCAGCCCTTGGGGTGCTGTCTGTGTGAGGGACATGAGCCACGCTGCAGGACAAGCTTATCTGCTGGCCAAGCCTCGTGGCGTGGCATTTCAGCTGCCCCCATCTTACAGCTGGTCCTCCCATTTCTCTTTCTGACAGATGCTGTCCCTGATGGTGAGTCCACACGATTCCCTTAGGGATGAAGCCATCCTGAATCATGTTAAGCATTGCCCAGAGAAGCTGTGGCTGCCCCATCCCTGGCAGTGTTCAAGGCCAGGTTGGACACAGGGGCTTGGAGCAAGCTGCTCCAGTGGAAGGGGTCCCTGCCTGTGGCAGGGGTTGGGACTGGATGAGCTTTAAGATCCCTTCCAACCCAAACCAGGCTGCGGTTCTATGAAGAGCTTGGGATGATGAATGCGTATTTGTACATGTCCAAGGAGAACTTGATGTTACTGGCGTGGAGTCACAGGGCAGTTCAGGCTGCATGGGACCTCAGGAGGTCTCCAGCCCCATCTGCAGCTCCAGGCAGAGTTGGGAGATCAGGGAAGTTGCTGAGGGCTTTTTGCAGTCAGGTCTTGAGAACACTGACTTGCAGGCAAATGGAGAACAGCAGTGATGCATGCCTCTGGCCTTGACGTTGTTTTGGAAGGCCCAAAACTGGTGTACAAAGCCCTCGGTGCAGGCCTGGAAAGTGCTTGCTGGTACCAGAGTGGGTATTTTACAGATAACTAGGCTCCTTGGCTTCTCAGAAGGACCCTCCAGCACTGCCCTGCACCTCTGATGCTCAGCAGTAAATCCTGTTTGCATGGACAACCAGGTTCCCTTCATAAATATGGGGCTGGGGTTTCTTTCTACATGTTTCTTGTCTCTCTTTGTCAGCTCCCTTCAGATCTGGTTTCCTCCTTTTGCTTTCAAGGCCCATGAAGAAGAGGTGAGGAAGAAGTTCCGGCCCATCGAGCAGCTGAAGGAGGAGTTTGAAAAGCTGAACGTGAAGATGGAGACAGATTATGAAATTATGGTGAAATTAATCAGCAAATTCAACAGCTCTGCCTCGACGCTGGATGAAAAAGTAGCGGCGCTTTATGATCTTGAATATTATGTTCACCAGGTAGCAAACGCATTAGTAACTACCATGTAAAATCCAGGGGATACAGTGTCATAAATGTGGTTTTATTTTTCTTATCAGTATCAGGTAATACAAATTGCTTAATTATCATAATCCTGGGACAATAACAGGCAGCAGAGGGCTACTGCAGGCTTATTTTATACCTGAGTTGAAATAAATCACTGCTTGTGCTGGTAGCGAGCAGTTTCCTAGGGGTGAGTGTTGCTTGATTTGTTGTCTGTTCTTAGACTGATTTTCTTGCCCTCTCTTTTCCTTCTTTTATACGTTTAATGTTACAAAATGGGGGTTTATCTGCCATTTTTTGGAATAAGTAGAGTGGTGGCTGCTAAGAAAAGAATTATCTTCTCACTCCTTCCACAGAAGGAGTCTGTGGCTGCAGGTAAGCGCCCATCCATCAGCTCACAGAAAATGTCTTTGTACCAGGGAAGATGACAACCACTCAAAAAGCTGTGTTTTGTCTTGGTGTGAGTAGGAAGTGGCATGTAGAGCCTCTCTCACAGCTGGGCTGGTGGTGCCAGTCACTGAAGGCTCAGGTGAATGGCGAGTTGCTGAGCATCAGCCGACCTGTGCTAATAGGCTCTGTGTGAGGTTGAATGTATTTCCTGAACCCTCACTTCCTCAGGTTTATGCCCTCTCCCTCTGATCTCTCTTGCTCTGCTTTCAGCTTGCACATCTCTACCTCTCGTTGGCTGCAGCTGCATGCGCAGTGCTTGGGTGGGTGTCTGAGCATGGAGGCTCTGTTCTACCCTGTGGGAAAGGACTCCTTGGGAAAGGCTTCTCCCTCCCCAGTGACTGGGAGAGTCTGGAGCAGACAGAGAAAGCTTCCAGCATCACTTTCAGTGACTTTATCATCAGGGTGAATGGAGCAACTCTTTGGAGATGCTAGTGCAAGACCTTTCACTTCTTAAAACACAGTTATGGTATTTTGGGGGAAGGTAGCTGAAGGAATGTGCTGCTGAGAGAGGGAGTCCATGCACCAGCTAATAGAGCTGTTTTTTTCCAGAGCTCTTTGTCTTGAGTTTCCACACTGAATCTGTCATACACATGCAGAGGCTTCCTTGCTGTTTATTCTTGATGCTTTTGTTTCACTGATGGCATCTGTCTGACTCAGAGAATAAGTGTGAACAATGGGCACCCAAAGAGCTTCGTATTTATACTCAGGGCTAATTCTGTCTGGTTAAGGATGCCAGAGCATCAGGCCAGCATGCTAAAAAGCAACCCCCAAACTCCATGGAATGCTTTGGATTCCAGTGTGCCAGTCTGGACTATTCCAGCATAAAATCCTGCCTGCTTGCAGCGTGGGATGGGACAATGTCAGAAAGGCAAGAGGAGCAGGGACTGGAGCATCAAAGGGAACCACATCCAGCATCAGAGGGGTCAGAAAGGGGGAATGGCAGGGAGGCTGGCAGGAGCACAGAGGACCCCTTTGTGCATCGATCACAGCGTTGCTCTGTGCCCGCACTGTCGGGGCAGATGGCTGGGCAGCACCTTCTCATCAGGCAGGAAGCTGATAAGAAATATGACTTGTCTCTAAGCCAGCATGGCTTTTCCTCCTCTTTCGTCTTCCAGCCAGTTGAATGCATCCAGAGCATTATCTCTGCTTGGTACTGACTTTAGCAGCACTGGCTTAATGTAATTACTGAATAGCAGCCAAATACCCTTGTGCCGCATAACCCTGGAAGGGCTGGACTTGTCAGAGTCCTCTGCAGTGAGCACATCCCTGCTGCTGAAGGATGGGATCCTCACAGGTGAGGGTGGCCCTGTGGGACCAGTGACAGCTCTGCTGCTCCCTTGTCCCCCACCTCCATCTGAATGGTAATGTGCCACAGCTACTGATGATCGCTCAGCTCTCAGCTGCCCTTCTGCTGTCTCCAGGGCACAAGATGCCCTGTCAAGTGGAAAATGCCATGCCCTGTAGGGATTGCAGGCAAAGGGTGCTCTCTGCTCTGTGGTGTGGTGATGAACATCCTGGAGCACTGGGACATAGAGCAGTGTGTGCCTCCGAGCTCGCTGCGAGGGAGCAGAGGGGAAGCTGTGGCCGATGAAGAGATGATCTCTCCTGCTCGTGAGGAGGCAGCCCAGGGGCTCTGTGTTTGCTCAGCTTTTGGTTGCCAGCTCTGGTTTGCTTCTTACCAGTCAGGATTCAAGTCGGCGTGTTTGGGAGACCATCTTGGAGAAGGAGCAGGAAGGTTTGGCTTGCACGGTTATCCATAACACATAAAAAACAAATGCAAATGTGAAGAGGCCAGAGCATAACTCATTTATAAACAGAATTCACGGTGCTTGCACAGCCGTGTAGAGCCAAGACCCATTCTTAGGCGTTGCAGGCTCTTTCTCTCAATTGTTTACTCTCCTTATCTTCCCCTCTCCCCTCCTCTGACATGCTACACCATTTCTCACTGCTAATTTCCTCTCCATCGCATACGGTTGACATGCTTCTTTCCTTGCTCTCATTTCCTAACATCTTCTCTCCTGCCTTCCCTCCCAGTTTTCTTTCTCTTCTGATTCAAAGCTGCTGCCCGCATAACTGCTGTCATATTCCTTCTTCTCCCACCCTTCTCCTCTCCCATTTTGCCTGTGTACTATACTCAGGAGCTCTTTTGATCTTTGGCTTTCTTCTGTGCTGATTTCAGTGGACTGAAGCGAGGCAGGAGCTGCTGCCTCACAGCATCCCCTGCCTCCTGGAGAGGTTAATAACTTCAGCTCTTTGAGTTTGGGGTTTCCTTGGGTTTGGAATGGTGAGTGAGGGAAGGAGCTCTCACAGCAGACTCCAGTTAAGAAAAATAAATACGTCTTCAAGATAAACTTTACAGCACAATTTCTATTCTGTGGCTGAAGTGCCTTGATGATGCTGGGGCTGACCTGAAGGATGCTGCTGCTATGAGGTTATAGCAAGGGTTGGTTTTACCAATGCTGATGCTGGATGCAAACTTCTGCTTGTCAGTGCGTTTGCTCTTGAGCAGAAGTCAATGTCCAATTCCAGCATTGAAACAGCCTTGGAGCTTTTACAGAGGCTGAGTAATAAAAGGACCCATTGGCAGCTGAAATTGGGTTGCTGCATAGATTTCTTTGTAGATAAAGATGGGCCTGCAGAAAAGCAAGAGGTCTGCAGGTCCATATTATAGGGACAATTAAAAGAAGAGGATCTGAAAGGATACAAAAGCTGCTGCAAATCCTGAATCAGCCCCAGCAGACCTGTGGAGATCAGCTTTCTGTCGCCAGCTCTGCAGAGGGACAGCAAGTGGCGGGTATTGTCCTGTTGTGGAGAAGAGATGAGCTGTAGCTCCCCAGGTTCTGCTTTGGTAAAGACATACCCATAGGACATAGAACTAAATAGCTTCCTCATTCTCTTGGGTGCCTAAAATAGCTGACTTATGGCCAATTTTGGTGAAGGTACACGGTTGAGATAAATATAACACTAAGCATGAAGTCATTGTTGACCGAGAATGTTCAGGCTGGAGCATGATGCCTGAGCCTGACATAGCTGCACACCCTGTGGTGTTTGTGCTGTCCCACCACAGCAGGGAAGGTCAGTGTGTCCAGCTGATAACTTGATTTTATGTTCTATTTCTATCTGCTAACATAAAATCACAGAATCCCAGACTGGTTTGTGTTGGAAGGGATCTTAAAGCTCACCCAGCTCCAACCGCTGCCACAGGCAGGGACCCCTTCCACTGGAGCAGCTTGCTCCAAGCCCCTGTGTCCAACCTGGCCTTGAACACTGCCAGGGATGGGGCAGCCACAGCTTCTCTGGGCACCCTGTGCCAGCGCCTCAGCACCCTCACAGGGAAGAGCTTCTGCCTAAGAGCTCAGCTCAGTCTCCCCTCGGGCAGGTTCAAGCCATTCCCCTTGGCCTGTCCCTACAGGCCCTTGTCCCAAGCCCCTCTTTGGGTTTCCTGTAGCCCCTTTAGGCACTGGAGCTGCTCTAAGGTCTCCCCTTCAGGAGCCTTCTCTTCTCCAGGCTGACCCAGCCCAGCTCTCTCAGCCTGGCTCCAGAGCAGAGCTGCTCCAGCCCCTGCAGCATCTCTGTGCCATCTCTAGACCATCTGCTGTTGTCTCCCCATCTTCCAGGGAGTAGAAATGTTGAAATCCTAAAACCATTTATTTTGCACACACTATTCTGAGTGTTCATCAGATTCCTTTTTAAACTGAAAAAAAAAGGAAGAAAAAAATCCTTGAAAACCTACATGCATCGATTCGACTTTGGACTGAATTCTGTACTTGAAGCATTTTGTGCTGTTTCTCTGGATCTTGTTTGCAAGCCCTTTGGAACTCTTCTTAATCTCCTCTCCAAGAACAGATGGCCGCTGTGATTTGTGCCTCGTTAGCCCCACGTCTGGTTCAAGTCAGAGACTGAGGAATCCCCACTAGCATTTAAACTTGTCCCTACTGGCACTGAGTCCAATATTGTCTGCTTTAGCTGTCCCAGGGGGAACACCCTTGCTGGCCCCTTTAAGCAGGCACTGGCTTTTCATTGTTGATGGTCCTCATGAGCAAAGCCCGGAGCCACCCATACTCTGCTGCCAGCAGAGGTGATGCTGCCTGTGTGCTGTGGCTGCTGGCAGGCTCTTCAACAGCCCCAGCTCCTGGTGCTGCAATTAGAGCATCAATTAATTAATTGCATTTGCAAAACAAGCAGTTCCCTGGGTTCCCAGCAAAGGCCTGCTGAGAGCAGAGCGAGCACAGAACTGGTGGGGTTTCTAACATCATATTATTGACCACAGTTTTGACATCACCTGGATACTGCAGTGTGTGTCGAGCATGGTTTTGATGGCTAGTCAAAGCACATGAGTGTTCAGTGTGTGGTAACAGCCACCTGTCAGTAGACTGTGCTTCTGCAACCCTGACACCCCTGCTCACAGGCACTGCTGTATGGAATTCAAGCCATAGTCGTTCCCTCTTTGTAACTGCATTTTCAGACTGAGCCCTGGTTAGCCCAGGAGGGAAGAGCTGCTTTGCTTCCTGGAGCAAGGCGCTCTCCAGGGCTTGCTGTGTGGAGTCTGGCTGGGGGTTTCCTGCTCATGGGGACCTGCTCTCTCCCCATCAGGTGGACAATGCTAAGGACTTCCTCTCCATGGGTGGACTCCAGCTGGTGATCCATGGGCTGAACAGCACCGAGCCCACGCTGAAGGAGCACGCTGCCTTTGTCCTGGGCGCCGCGCTGTCCAGGTGAGCTCCGGTACCCCTCGTGACACCCACGGTCCCTGTGCATCTCCCATCTCTGGAGTCATTCCTAACAGCAGGAGCTGATGGCTTCTCTCACCCTGCAACCCCCACACTGTCTTCTCACCTGCCTAACCCTTCTCTTGCAGCACCGCTTACCCTGGTCTCCTCCTCAGTGAGTCCTCATCCTGCTTGTTAGGCTTAGCCAGAAGCAATTGGATGTGGAAGGTGTGGTTGTTTCTTGATTTCCCTGGGCTTCTTGTTTTTATGGAGTTTGAGAGGAATAATCCTGCCTTCCCTTCTCTCCCCTTGGCAGCCCACTCTGGGGGAGGATCTGGAGGATGGTGCTGGTGTGAGCACCCCAGGGAGCACCTTTCTCCTCCTGTTCCTTTCTCCTGAGCTGCTTTTGGATAGCAAGATGCTGATTTCAGAAATAGAGCAACTCCTGTGGTCTTTGGAGGGGGGTTTTATCCCCGGGGACACATACCTCAGACCCCAAAGGGGTGTCCATTAGACATGGTGGGGTCGGCAGATCTGAAGGACATTTGTGGTTCACTGGAAGGTGGCTGTTGCCCAAAGCAGCCCAGTCTGCCTCATGCTAGGGCACAGCATGCAGTGCTGCAAGCAGAACTGTGTGAGCAAGATGGGTTTTATTGGTGATCTTCCAGTTTTATGGGTTTGGGGGTTTTGTGGGGGTGGATGTGTGTTGCACATGGACCGGCACAGAGGCTTTAGAAATGTGTTGGATGGACCCAAACTTGAGGGTCAGAAGTGCAGAGGTGATCATTGAAAGTCAGGGCTGTTATTATCTGCCTATTTCTGTGCCTAAAAATAGTCACCTCTCCACCATTATACATTATTTATCCCTTAGTTTAATATATAGTCTACAAATCTACATTTCTTTTGCAATCTTCTATGCAATGCAGTTGCTCCTCAGCACATGTGAAGGAATATGGCCTTATGGACAGCAGCAGGTACCCAGATTTATACCAGGAAAGGATCCAGTTTATAGTCTGAAACAGAGCTTGCCTGATCACAAGATGCACTCTTTGACATCAGAACACAAACCTGCTCTTCATATTCTGGCATATCTTAATGTTTGAAATAATGTCATTGTTTCTTAAAGTTCTTTTAATAGCATCTAGGTTCTTAATTATATGTTTCATTAAAGAGAAGAGCACGCAGAGGGTCTGGAAACATTTGCAGGTAACTTGCAAAATGACAGGGGCTATGAAATTGCTTCTTAATTAGCTAACGTGGCGTGGTCAAGACTGAAGAAACTTATGGGCTTATGATATGAGCGTGTAGCAGTGCCTATGAAACTAATGCTTTTGTATAGCATCCCTCACTTAATTGCAAGCACCCTTCTTTGGACAGAAATAATCTCTTGAATAATCTCAGAAATAATCTAATTGTATACAAAATACAATATTAAAATAGTGCTTTGGAAACTTTTAGACTGCTTGTCTTAAAGGACATTCTGACAGATGGTAATTTGGGGTGGTTTGGGTGATGGGTTGTCTGAGAGCTCAGCTCCAGAATGTGAAGAGTATTATGTCTGCGTTTTGGGATTGCTTTTTCCTTGCTGTATTTGAGCTTTCTCATCAGACACCTCCATGCCAACTTGTCTGTTTTGTGCTCTATGCTTAATTTGTTTGTTTGTACATTTCTCTGCTTACTCTGTGCTCCTTTTAAACTGCTTGGGGCATTCCAGGTACTTCACACTAAGCATCTTCTCTTGCCTTGTGCTTTTTTGAGGGGTTGTTGCTTATTTCCTTCACTCCTGGTTGTTCCCTGGGGCCTCAGTTTGGTTGTGGGACTCACCAGTAAATGCCTAGAGACGCCGCAGTTCACTGGGCGGTACGGGCATGACCTGATCCATACTTGTGTGCTTGAGGCTGATGTCAGGTCCTGCATTGAATGCTGAGCCAGGTGATGGTCTGCTGCTCACCAAATGGGTCTGTGGCCACCTCCCAGGTCACTTCAGCCAGGTTGGCTCAGGCTGGTGGTTTCAAGCCAGGCAAAGCTTCCCAGAGGAAATCAGGGCATGATCATAGCAGCTCCTCAATGCAGTCTGGGAGGTCATTAACTCTTGGCATAGCTGGATCTGGCAGAGGGAGTCTAGGCAGCAGAAAGCCACCAGACCCTGGGACGTGCTTGGGGCACATCCAGAACTTTCCAACTCTTAAAAATATCCAGGTCTTCTCCAGATTTGCATTGTCCTGACCTGTGATCAGGCAGTGAAGCAGGTAAGGGATGGAGCAGGCAGCTGCATCACACACAGTCTTGCCTGCACGCGGTCGGGCTGGGATGTGGCCCAGAGGTCTGGCAGTGCTGAAGACTGGTTTGGGATAAATGGGTTTTCAAGTGGATCAGCATCTTGAGCCAACAGGCTGGGTGCCTGGCCAAAATGTTGGATCAGCAAAGGTAATAGGAGGAGAAACAGAAAGAGAAGGCACAGCAGGGGCAGCTGAAGATTTCTCCCTCCTCATATCACTCCTATTCATTTGGTTTAAATTGGACTTGAAAAGCAGCCTTAGCACAGCCTAGTTTGGTCCTCAGGGTCCTGGGGTCTAGCGACCAGCGTGCTGCCTGCACTGATACTGTCCTCCAGACATTCATCTTCCTCTGTCTGTGAGCCTCTGCTACGTTAAGAGGGTGACCTGGTAGGGGAGAAATCAGTGTTTCAGCTCTCGTTTCTCTTATGTGTCCTTCATTTTAGGTGTTTGGGGTTTAATCGCTGAGTCTGTGACCAAATCAAACATTGTTCCATCTGGTAGAGTGTTGTGAGCAGTGCCCTTATTGCAGCTCCACAAACCTCATCCACAGCCTTACTGGTTTTAAACCTTTAACAAAATGTTTTCCATTCAGCAGTTTACGAAAGTAAACTTCATTTGAACAATCCTCAACTGCTCTGATTGCAAATAAAAGTTAAATGCACTAACAAAAATAATTGCTAGGCATGTGGGATTGTACATTTAGGTATCCATAATTCACTAACAGTATGTGCCAATACACAACATTATCTGGATTTTCAGTGATTGCATTAGCATAAAAGCATGTTAGCATTTATCTGGTGGTACTAACATTTAAATATATATAAGTATAAAATATTAAGATAGAGCATTTTGGAGGCAAGTGAAACTACTGTCTGTAAAATGTTCCTGCATATTTTTGAAGGTACACTCCAGTATCTTTGGATGACAGTCAGCATTCGCACCATTGGGTCCAAATATTGCAAAAATGTCAATGTTTTATGCAAAGAGGAGCTATATTAAGCTAAAAAAGATTGCTGATGAGAGAAGTGTCTTCTGATGTCCTCTAAGCTATTTACAGGCAGCATCTTCCTTTGTTCGTAGCCCAGCCAGGCCTCTGCGCAATCTCTCTCTCCATGTTTCACAAGACAGGATATGTTAGCCAGAAAGGATTATGCTTGTGATTAAAACCTCAGTTTGGAAAAACTTTACCTCCAGGAAATGTTTTTCCACACCAATAATTTGAGCATTTCAATATTTTGTAATAAAAGGATTTTTGTAATCAGTTTAGGAGGGAAGAATAATTTATGTCGAATGCGTTCTTGAAGCTTTGTCCTAAATGCTCCCTTTATGCTTAGGGGTGAATTAGAGGTGAGGATGGAGAGAAGCTGAGCCCTGGGATCTTCAGGGCAAAGTGAAGCAGTTTGTATTCCATGAGGAGAGGACAGGCAATGCACAAGGTGAGATTTCAGCATGGCTACAGTGGGGATACAGGAGGAAAGTCATTTGTATTGCTGCGTTGAGAGACTTGTGGTGGCCAGTGGATTTGTGGTGGGTCTGTTGCTTGCCCAGTCCTTTAAAAACCCCATGTGCTGTTCAGACTGGGTAGCTGGAGACAGGATTTTCAAACTGATGGTCCCAGCTTGCATTTGTGTCTGTCCTAGCAAGACATCGGGCTGTCCCCAGCACAGCCTCTTCCACTAAGCCCACTGCTACCAGGACCTCGCTGGGCCCTCTTTTGGACCTAAGTGATGAAACAAATGTTACAGGACTTGGGAGCGAACTCACCACAGGTAACAGCCCAAGCATCATCTTGCAGCAGCACTCAGGAGTTTGCTAGAGATGGCTAGGGTCAGGGTATTGCTTGTCTTAACCATTTCCCATAAGATTAAATCCCTGAAACTGGGCCAGCGCATGAGAGCCCCTGCAGTCCTGATCCAGCTCTGGGGCAGCAGCACAAGAGGGATGTGAAGCTGTTGGGGAGAGTCCAGAGGAGGCCACAGAGATGCTGTGAGGAGCCAGGCTGAGAGAGCTGGGTTGGGTCAGCCTGGAGAAGAGAATGCTCCTGAAGGGGAGACCTTAGAGCAGCTCCAGTGCCTAAAGGGGCTGCAGGAAACCTGGAGAGGGGCTTGGGACAAGGGCCTGTAGGGACAGGCCAAGGGGAATGGCTTGAACCTGCCAGAGGGGAGACTGAGATGAGCTCTTAGGCAGAAGCTCTTCCCTGTGAGGGTGCTGAGGCGCTGGCACAGGGTGCCCAGAGAAGCTGTGGCTGCCCCATCCCTGGCAGTGTTCAAGGCCAGGTTGGACACAGGGGCTTGGAGCAAGCTGCTCCAGTGGAAGGGGTCCCTGCCCATGGCAGGAGTTGGGACTGGGTGAGCTTTAAGATCCCTTCCAACCCAAACCAGTCTGGGATTCTATGAACATACCGATCACTGTTACTCATGTTACCCGGCTCTGAGGGTTGTTCAGAGCTTACACCATTTTAGTAAAGCAAAGAGGCCTAAAACATGTACCTGCTTTTCAGAAGAGCCCTGAGCTGCAGCTCTGCTGCCTCCCTGCCCAGTGCCGTGCTGGGCTGCCTGGATAGTGCTCAGCATCATCATATCTGGCTTTTGTCCATTCTGCCTCCTCCCCTGCCGTTCTTTGAGAGGAGGGATGGGCAGTGCTGTCTCCCTGCCCCTGCTCTATCCATCAGGATTTCAGTGGTGGCACATTAGTACACACCTTGTGTGTTTTGTCAGAGAAGCACCA